GAGAAAAGTTAATAGAAGCATGGAAAAGCTACCTTAAAATACCAGTTGTTTCTGGAAACAAGAAGCAGATGTTCTCTTCTGCTCGGCTCAGCTGTGCTACAGTACAACAGTGCCTTTGTTATGCTGTCAGCAGTCATTCATTTTATTTATTAGAGCCATTTTATACTGCCCATCATTGTAGTATCTGGGTACACTGTGCATTACCTAGATTCATGAAAAAACTATTCCAATACCCTCTTCTCTAAGACTGTACTAAGAATACCAATTGAGCAAGTTACAGTGCTAGCTTGTTTCTTTCCACTGTCTTAAGAAAAAACAAAAAACAAAAACAGAAAGCAGAGGAGGGAGGGCTAAAAATGCCAAATAAAAACAGTACTAACATTTCCAAACAATAATGAAACATAACATAGTACAAAGAGTGCAAAACAAAATATGCTTATTTTTGCAAGTTTGTGACTGAAAACACCTGTCAGCCTCCAAAAGACAAATTAAAGGTTAATCTCTCTCCTATTTGGAAAGGAACAGTAGCAAGAGCAAAGTCATCAAGAAACCTGTAAAAAGAGAGGCTGCTCTGAGAAGAGAGTCCATTGTGAAAGGAAGACAGTGAAAGCAACACCACAACTGGTAGCATAAATCACTCTGTATCTAACTTGTCATTTTTCCTGCCAGCCACTGAGCCTTTATCTTACCTATTAAGCAACTCCCCAACTACACTAACATTGCAGCCTTTGTACGGATCAGATAAGGGATTTTGAGACCAAGTAAGAAACCTTTACCAAGCAAGACTGTACAGACTGGCACAGACATTTGTCTTCCATTCCTCCCAGTCTGATGATTTCTCAATTAAAATATCCTCAGACTAATGGTTATTAGTGACATGTAAAATACATTCAGTGATGTATGAGACTTGTAAGCTAAGGCACTACAGGGACATGCATCAAAAAACATCTTTACGGCTAATAAAAATGTAGTGATCGCCATGCGAAACACACCCACATTTAATATGGTTAAATACAGCCAACAGTTTAAGAACAGCAGCACATTTTTCCTTTGGGTGTTTTTGCACACCTCACATTTCATAATGTCAACATTTCACACATGCATTTCAAACACTGTTAAGTAAGCACTTCTCTGTAGCATAGAGTTTGCCAATAAACTATCAAGCACCAGGGCGAAGAACTTCAGCAGGTTCAATTGGCCCACTGTGCCCCACACTTTTCAGACTCAAGCCTCATCATTCCACAACCACTTCAGGACTGATCACTTCTGACAATTCCCAGCTTAGTTAAAACAGGATAAAATAAGATCCCAGATAATCTCTCATCTTTACTAATGCAGATCTATGACTATGTGTACTTTAAAAGATTTTTCACAAGACAGACTTAAGGCAGCAGCCTGTCTCTTGCCAGGAGTCTAAAGCAGTCATTGCATATGTACACTTTCACACTATTAGTATCTAAGAAACAGAATTAGCATTAAAAACCACTATAGACAGTCCTTGACTTGCAATCGTTCGAGTTACAATGCTTCACACTCACAACGTTTATAAACTGACACTGTTTCTAACTTTCTGATGTCAGTTTCGACTTCACAATGCTCGATCCAACGCCATGCCCGCAAACAAGTTTGCTGTCTCCCTGGAGAACATCTGTCCAAACTTCCTTGGACACTTTCTTTAAGAAAGCAGACAAGACTCCAGAAAAATCTGCAGCCAGGACTCCTGAAGAAACTCCAGCCAAGAGCCCTTCAAAAAGTCCAGCTAAGTGACCTCAAAGCAGTCCATCCAAATCAACGTGATTGCTATTTACAATATAAATACATTAATGTAGCTATATTACTCATCTATAATTGATTGAGTACAAAATTCTAGGTTATTTTTGGTGAAAACAGAGTATCAGGCCTTGGTTCAGGAATTAGTTCCCTATTTAAAACATTGCTTCCTATGGGAAAATTGGTTCCAAGTTATAACATTTTGACATAAGACACAGTTTTCAGGAACCAATTGTACCATAAGTCTGAGGACTGCCTGTACTAAAACAACTGCATTATAAGGCAGCAACGATTTTTGCTAGCTCAACAAAATTCTCACTAACACAACAATTCCAAATCAAAGAGTATTCCCCTCCCCCACGACAATGAAATTAAAATTGCCTGTATGGAGGAGCTGTCTGAAAAGAAATCAAGTGTCTACACGCTAGTGTGTAAATCATGCATATTAAACAATTAACAAGCTTTGGAATGTGACCACATGAGTGAAAACCTGCTGTAGCACAGATTCTCTGAATGCAAAAATCTGCCCCATCAGGACAGATTTTGATTTGGCATGGAACAGTCATATCAGTCTGTAAAGTTAAGTCTCACAGTTTCTCAGATACGTTTATCTATATATAGAAAATACAATGCCAGACCTATTTTGGCAACAACAAATTTAACAAATTAGCTAAAAACCACCTTAGTTTGTTTGGCTAGCAGGGTCACCCACGCATGAAAGCTGACATGCAAATTAGTTACCTGTCAAAACTGAGTTTTCCAGAGAGACCTCTGTATCAGCAATAGTTATGAAACAAGAAACCATATGTAAGCAAATCAGGTTCAGATCTTGCCACTGAAATCTGCCAGAGTACTCTAAAACTGGATTTTTCAAAATTAAGTCAAAAAGAAGAAAAGAAATTATGGTAAGCTGTTTTCAATGACTGCATTTTAATACAAGTTTCCTATGAATTCTAAATTTATTACATAAAACCCAATGCTTACCTCCCCATCCCCCTTATCCCACTCCAACCTTGACAACAGTTAGGCTGAAGTCAGGAAGAAGGCAGGATAGAGCTGCACTCTACAGACTAACAGAACTAGAGAAATGTCACTATTATAATTACTGCCTATAATGCTGGACAATAAGCATCTCATTGTTTCCCCATACTCCACAATTGTCTTGACACCTCTATTGACTCATTGTGAAGTCTTTGGGAATCAGACTGCTTCTTGCTCTTCGTTTCTACAGCACCTAGCAGTCCTGGGTTCACTAGTAATACTAATAAAGAAAATGCTTCTACACTTTTTTTAAAGGAATTATATCATTTAAAAAAAACTAAGTATATCTACAGGTAAAAATCAAAATATGTTGCATCACCAAAAATAAATAAATAAATACATAAAATAAAAAAGAAAATACCTTCACGGATTTTAAATTTTCCTTCCTGAGGTATAAAGAAAAGGCAAAGATCAGGAGCCACAATCTTGCATGTGACTAAGACTTAAGCACATGATTAACTTTAGGCATACAAATGGCCCCATTATTATGCACCTCCAGCTTTGCAAGATCCAGCTCTAGCAAGATATGAGCTAGGTTTTTTGTTCAATCAATTTTAATGATCTACACTGTTAGCAATACAAGTGAAGAAGTTAAGCTGATTCTGGAAGCAGAGCATCCTGGACAAACTTACTGGCATACAACTACAACGGGGAAGTGAATGTGGATCGAAAAGTGGAATAAGAGCCTTAATACATTCATACGAATGACTGTCAAATACAATAATAATAATAATATTTACCAGGTTCATTTAAACATAGGTTTGTTGGACAGAACTATTCAAAATTATTTAATTAATTACACTGGAGAACTCTATGACAATTCAGTGGGGTGAACACTACAAATATACCAAATATCTGATCCCAGTACTGCCAAAAAAAAAAAAGATTTACACCGTTCAGCAGATGTCAAAAGCTACATGTGCCCACAAGCAAAATGCATTATGGAACAGCATGACATATGTGCTCATTGATCTTAAATAATACCATTTGAGCTAGATGTCTGAGACAGCAAACTTCTCTATGTTTGAATATGTAAGTGGAGGCCAGCAGAGAACAAAACAACAGCAAACAGTTAAAGTAAAAAAAAAATTTTTTTTTAAAAAAGCAACAAAAAGAAAACAAGAAAAGCAGGAAAAGAAAAGCAGCATCTCTTACAGACAGGGCCTCACCATTCAGTCAGGCACCAGGGAGGAGAAAAAAGCACTAGGGAGAAGCCAACTCTCTCCTCAAAACTAGTATTGGAGCAGAAGGGATAGCCCATAAGTTACTTAAAAAAAAGCTAACTATGGGTTTTAGCTTTTTATTTTTTTTTTTGGTTACTTTCCTCCTTCAGCGATCTCTGCCAGTATTCATTAGGTAGCCTTTTGATAATCAGCTTATGGAAAAGATCAGGCAGGATATTCCTTTCCCCAGAGAATCAAGGGAGAACAAACGGATGTTTCCCTGTCTCTTCAGAAAGACTCAACTCCAAGAGAAGAGGGGTTTTTTCCACTCCTCAAAACCACTCCTCTGTCCTCGCCGCATGGAAATCACAGCGAGGCACAAAAGCAGACCTAAGCGAACAAACTCCAATCACAACTTCCAGCGGAAAACACGCCGAGAGAGACCTCACACGGGCGGCCTGGTGCAAGGAGCCTCCTGCGACGTTGCTTGTCTGGACTCTTCAGCCGATACCAAACCCACAGTTTGTTCAGGAGCCGGCGACTGCAACTCACACTAGAGCGAAGCAGCAGTGCAAGTTCCTGCTTCCCGGGATCCCTCTCCCCATGGCTGTCAGCTGCCATTCGCAATGCCACGCCACCCGGAGCGACATGCACTTGGTCGCGCCCCACAGCCCACCTCTGGTTTCTCCCAGGAGAGCTCCCCTCGCTCTCTCAGGAGAAACCACCTCCCCCCCCACAGCACAAGCGGCTGCACGGGGGGAACAACCCCGGGGGGACGCACACGGCCGCGAATCCGAAAGCCTTCAGCCATGAAGCAAGAAGTGGCTTCATTGACACGAGTTTCAGCCCTGGAAGGGAAGCAGAGCATTACCCCCCCTTCCCAGCACGTCGCGGGGAGCCCGGCCCCACCCCGGGGGTGCTGTCAGCGCTTCGGGGGCTTAAAGAAACCCGCAACTTGGGCTCGCGCTCGCTGCCAACTTCTAGCGAGCAAGATACAAGTCCCGAGGAGGCTTCGGGAACGGTTACCTCGCGGCTCCGCTCCGAGGACTTCTTCCGCAGGGCCTGTTGGACCTTGGGGTCCATGGCGGAGCCCATCCTGGGCCGCCGGCAGGTCCGGGGATGGGTTCAGCCGCTCCGCGCCGCGGGCCCCGCCATCCCCGGGGGGCCCGGCTGGCGCTTCAGCACGTGGGGCCAGGCGGGGAGGCCGCCGCCGCCAGCTCCAGCCGACCCATCCCGGCACTGGAAGTTCCGCGCGTCCCTCCGCTCCTCGGACAACGCTTGGGGGCGGGCGGGCGGGCGCAGCGCAAGGGAAGCAGGGCAACAGCGCTCCGCCTTGGGAACAGCCCCTCACAGGATTCGGAGAGGGCGGCGCTGACACACCAAAAATCCCGGCTGAGAGAAGGAGGGAGGGGAGGGAAGGAGGGAGGCGAGGCCCCGCCCACAAGGAGAGAGCTGCCAAACGGCGGCTGTAGAAGCATCGCGAGAGGTTGCAGTAGCGCCTGCGCGGTGGGCGCGAGGACCTAGTTGTCACGCGGCGGCGGGGGTCCCAGTTTCGCGCTGCCCAAAGCTGGGCGGTGGGAGCCCGTCTTGTCCGAGGGCGGAGCGCACAGCAGCCCGCGAGGATGGGAGGGG